ATATAATCACTTCCGAACAACTATGACTATATATAGCCCCCCACCCAGTCGTTTGATTGTTAGTTGTCAGCGATTAATGCAAATTTGATGGCAACTTGATAGGATCGCGAAAGGTGAAACAATGGACGATCTAGCTTGCCACTTCTTGAGGAGTGTGCCGCTAGTGGGAGGAACAGGAGCTTTTGATTTTGACAGTAATCGGCCGGGCAAGTGGCTAAACGGAATGGCGTGACAGCCTTAATCGAACAAGCCGGCGACACCGTGATAGATGTCATCCATTGATTGATGTCCTGCTGCTTTTCGGAGTACGAAGTTTGAGTAAGAATTCAAAGATTTGCAGTTGCGGAACGAAACCGAGCCATAACTGCCATCTGTCTTAAACGTTCGTAGATCCACCCGCACAGCTTTTAACTACGGTAAGCCACTGTGCATCCTGGAACATGCTCCCTTGTCTGTTCTGATGTATATAGACTACTGCAATCGTTTCGGTTTTCCTTTCCCAGCTTGTCACATTACAACTCAGATCGTGCAAGAGGCACTGTCGGGCCTTTAGCATCGTTACGGAACTATAGACGCTGCCATTACGGATAACACAAGCTTTTTCCGGGGGTCAGTATTTAACATGTCACAACGTGTGCTATGCAGAGGACGCTATAGCCAACCCGCGGGCGAACGGGTTGGTAGACGTGACGATTTGCACAATTTCGGAGCGGCTATCTACACAGTTGCTGAAGACGCTCGGCTCCTTTGTTCTTTCGATGCCCCTTGCGATCGCCTTTACAATGAACACTATGCTAAGACAGGTCTTAGGCGCAACACCATTCGCAAAACCTCGTTGCCCGATGGACCTCCGAAGCTGTGCCCAGTCCGACTCTTCGGCAGAAACTGATCCCTAAGGTAACAACATTTCTTTTACGTTGGTCAACAAGATTGAGTGCTGGATCCCGTAGTCGGTGAAAAATATGTGATTTCAGCGAGCTTTTGGTACATATAGTCAGTAGGCGCCAGCAGTCATTACTCGTAACTGCTATAATACGCTCGTATTTATGTATATACATAACTGGACCAAGCCAGAAGAATATAGAAGAAATATATATATATATATATATATATATATATATATATATATACAGGCTTTATCTTTAGAGTAAAGAAGTTTTTTTATACTTTTGATTTAGTTCAGCTGCAAAGGATAAGGCACTCAATTGGGGAAAGGCAGTGTTCGGATAATTATATTTTGTAACGGTCCAAGATCAAGAAACACAGCCAGATCCTAGTTATACAAGGATTAGTCCAGTTTAATGGACATAAATTTTGTTCTGAAAAGAAACGGCGAGAATTTAATCTGCTGAGAAGTTGGGTCAGCCTGTTGTATCTCTTCGTTTACGAAGTCAGCTATATTAATTAAACAGCTAAAGTTTCAAATTTTTGCGTCATACTAGAGTGGGCCAATGTAATTCTTGTTTCTGTTTTCTGCTCTATGAAAAGGACTGTCTGCTTCAGAAATGAGAAAATAGATAGAATACTTCGCAAGCTAAGCGGGTGTACATCTAGGTACCCCAATGGAGCCCAACTAAACTTGCAAACAGTGGCAGTAGATAAATATGAACGCATCGTTAGAAGAAGCACAAAACCTAACTTTGCTCCTTCTTATTCCTACAACAGTAGGCGCCCCGTAAAAACAGCAATGATTCAGACCTCCACTGCCAGCTTTTCGCTGGTTCGAATATCGTGTTATTTTACATAGTATACTAGGATCATCGCTTTTTGTGGTAGTCAAAGTTACTAAAGTGGTAGCGGTCTACAAATAATAAATCGAGTGGATTTTTTGTTTAGTAAAGGTAATTCATTGTCGAGAAGCAGGCTGGGGTTCAATCGTCTGTCTAAAATCAATGCTTTGAATAAACAGACTCTGCTTCTCAGATAGCTGTTTAACTATATAGACCGTTTAACGATATAGCCTATATCGAAAGCAAGTATATCTTTGGCAAGCTGCAAAGTGCATTTTAGAAAATCTCTGTAGCATAAATATAAGGGATTCGCTGCCAAAGGGATAATTATCGAAACATGGCGCACACATTCCCTCAATCCACACTGATATTTGACCAGGCATAGCTATGCTTACCAATCTGAACGTTTTTTTTGTCTGTGTCGACTCAACGCAGACATGAATTTTTGTTTGCGCTAAGTTAGCAGTGGTTAGCACGTTTGATGCATTGTACTGTTTTCTATGAGCAAGAATTGCTACCGCAATATTATTATAGCACTTCTGTCATTGTTGGTAGGGCCGAAATACTTGTAGTAAATGTATACACGGATTGTACTTTGAAAACTCCACACGAAAATTAAGGTCAATACCGATATAAATCTCATTGTCGTATCTGCAAAGGGGAACAAATGCTTTGAAAATTATAAAGCGATACCAGGAAGCACTCAGTTGCAAGCATAGGATGGGAATCTTAAGGTTTATAGCAGTCAATTTTGGACCTTATAAATTTGAAAGGAAAATCTCTTACACGTTAAGTACATAAACTACGATGCATCAAAGAGTTGCTCACACTGATTTTGTTTCTAGACTAGAAGATCGACACACTTCGTTAGTATATTAAGTATTTAGATTCATTTACCAGAACAATGATCGGATCAGTTAATAAAACAAATTTTTTCGTTATATAATCGTTAGTGATAATATGAGAGCTCACCGTTTCGTAGTATAAAATCTTCCTTTTGTTCGATCGGTGCTAATTAGACGAGAATGCGGGCTATTCAAAAGATTTATGGGTAAATACAATTTTGTGTGGGCTTGACACACGCTTAGTTGGCACGCGGATATAGTGTACACTATAGCAAATCGCAATATATAAGATAACCCCGCACGTTATATTGCAGCAATTTCTCAACCATTTCTGAACCCATATGCATATTGCATAGATATTGAAACGCGACACGCTTACATCTCTGTAGATGTTCTACTTACTCATCACCTGAGCCTTTTTCCACGTATTAAACACTCTCCATTTTTAATGAGTTACTACTTGGAGAATATTTTCATACACCTTAAAACGATGCGACATACGCGATTTAGCGATAAACAAATAGTTGCGTTTCGTGATTACGCCATGTCCAAAATTGATGAATTTTTGCGTGTACTGGATAATCGCTTGTAATCGACGTTTGTTTTTGTAAAAAAAGTGGGGCTTTTGCTACATACGGGCGAAATTCTATAATAATCTGATGTGATCTCTATTTCTCCGATGAGATTGAATAAGTTTATGTATCGAATGTTCTACGATTCTTTCCAAATGGAGCAACAGGCTTTCTTTTGCATTTGGCTTTGGGTGAAAAGTAAGATCCTCATTTTGGCAGGCCTGTAACAGAGCTCACAGACGAGTATGGGGATAGGATGAAACGACTCACGCCTGCTAAGTGCCAATTCATGTTCAGAACTAGCAGGTGGGAAATAGAAACGTCAGCTGACCGTTGAGGTGTCAGAAGGAGGATAGGATGAAACGACTCACGTCTGCTATGTGCCAATTCATGTTCAGAACTAGCATGTGAGAAATAGAAACATCAAGTGACCGTTTAAGCGTCAGAAGGCTTTTAACGGTAAGGTTTGTACCGCAACAACTGAATGTCTAGCAGAATAACACCGATGAACAACTGTGTCAGGAAGCCGTTTGATTGTTTATTATGAGTGTATTCTGTCCGGCTCCATGGTCACTAAGGAACACTATTAAGAAGTTTTAAGAAGGCTGCGCGAATCTGCTCAATGCAAAA